TCCCTCTCTCTCTCTCTCTCTCTCTTCCTTTCGCTCTCTCTCTCTCTCTCTCTCTCTCAATCTCTCTCAGTCTCTCTCGCTCTCGTCTTTCTCTCTTCGTACACGCTTTTCGTATTCTTTTCTCTTACTCGATCTCGCTCTCTTTCGTCTTTGTTTCTATCAACTCTGTCTTTTCGTCGACGATCTTAGCGTTCGAGATTCCGGTAATTGGAAATCTACGAGCTGTCTGGTTTCGTTTGTTCCGCTGTGTTCTTTGTTTGTTTGTTTGTTTGTTTTCATTTTTACTTTTATCCTCACGAGCGCGTCCACCCCTTCAACTTTCGGCGATGTTCTCGGCGCGGCTCGCGCCACCCACGCGGACACGTTCGCCTCCGACCGTGATTTTGATTCGACGTCGACACGCGGCGCTCCTGGATCGATTCAGCGGACGTCCGCGTCGGTGCCGCGGCTACGCGCCTCGGATCTGCTCGCGCTTTCGGCGCTGCGCGACGCTCGCCGGCGATGGCCATTCGTTGTGATCGTTTCCTTCAAATTTCTGACACTCCTCGCGGGAAGAATTCGGATAAAAATTGTTTCCTATTTGATTTCAATTGATTTTAAAGGTACGTTTCTATGAAAAGGACTCTTGAATAAAACAGAGGTTCGTAATGACGTACTCCGTGTACGAATTTCAAATTGAAGTTTACGAGTGGGTTCGATTAAATTTCACTTGCACCGTTCCTTTCTTCGCCGACGATTCCTCGAATCGTTTCCGTAACGCCATCGCCGCGAGCCGCCGCTTCGCGATCAATTCCGACGGAGCCGTTTATCCATCGACGTAACAAACTTCACTCGACGCGCCGAGAATTGCGTTACAGGTGGGGGAGACTCGAAACGTTCGATTAAACGAGAAGTTCAATCTAACAGACGGTTACAAGGAAGCGCACAGGCGAAGCGTCTGCTCCGAAATCCGGCGAATCTGTCGGTAAAGGAACGAATTTCAAGGAACAATCGCGATAGAGAACCTCGGCTCCGTCGGAATTCGAGAACTCGATGTCCCGAGGCTTCGAATCGCGATCGTATTCGCGCGATTCCGGGCCGAGGATCGAGACTCGTTCTCCAGCGATCGGCCAGAACCGTTCTGCGCTTAAGACTAAACGCTCGAGTCGCTCTCGTGAGTATTTCGAGCCTTACGCGGGAATATTCTAACGAATGAACGATTGAAAATCGACGGGGAACGACGGATAATCACGAGCGCGATCGAACGGTGCACTTATAGCTAAAGAAAATTAATTCTCGGATAGGCGAGCAGCCGGTGATTGAATGATCCCGCGTGTGTTCAACGAATTAAAACGTCATGGAGGGAAAAAACGAAACGAAAACAGGAGAAAGTTGAAGAAAAAAGAAATATACGACCGGCTGGTCGCCTGTTGATCGAGCGAGAGCCGCACGCGAGCAGCGCCGCGCGCGCGTCTCTCCCTCTCTCTTTCTCTCGCGTGTCCCTGTAAAGAAGTACATCGTGTATAAATGAATTAATGGCGATGTATACATATATATATGTATGTATATATATATATAAGTATAAGAATGTTCATGCACACCTCAATCTTTCTGCCCTCAACCACGGTGCCGTGTAGCCTCTCACGTGCCCGGTCCGCGTCAGCACTATTTGCGAATGTTACAAAACCGAATCCCTGCATGCAAGGACAGACAAAACAACATGCATTAAACTCAACTTACAGACTGCCAGCGCTCGGCAAACGGCCGGCTGGCCGACCCGACATTTCGCTGTCCCTTCGCCCTTTTCTTTCACGAATTTTCTCGAATCACCAGACCCGAAGGAACGGACAGGAGAAAATCGTTGATCATTAATTGGGAAACGAGGGGAAAGGAAAAAAGGGGTGGAAAAGGGTAGGCTGGATTTTTCTCGGAGGTGCTCCGCGTGCATCTTGCGCGGCCACCCTTCCCGAGTATCCAGCAATCGATTTCGCATCGATTCGGGTAGATTTTCATTGAAGATTCTCCGATTGATCGCGAACGCTCCGTTCTTTCTGGCTCTCGGCTCTTTGGTTTTCCCCGCGTTTCCGCCCTTCGCGCGCACTTTTCAACCCTTCCGGCGGTCAAACTCTCTTCAGCCGTCTTTCAGGCTCGAACCTGCTCTCTCCCGTTTATTTCCCCCGACGGACAATGGCCGTCTGCAAGGGCCACGTTAATTAATTCTCGAGAACGTCTCGAGACCCGAGCAAACGCGAGCTTCTATTGCGCGTGACTTTTCACGATTCAAACGTGTCGCGATGTCTGTATTGACTTATTGTTGATAACATTCGAATTTCGATCTGAAGGAGCGCTTTAAGTGGAATTTCTCCGTTGAAACGAAACAATTTTATCAGACGGACAAATGGTAATCCGAAGTTCTGTTTACCACGAGACGATGGAACTCTTTTGTTTCACATTTTCGAATTCTTTTTTCCTTTGATCCTTAAAAAGTACAAAATGTAAGAAAAGATTTGTTCGCGTGGAAGTCGTTAAGGCTGCCGAATAACGAGACGAAGTTGCTCGCGAGCGTTTTGTAAACGCGTTTCGCGAGTACGGAAAGAATCTCTTTTTTTGTACGGGGGTCGAAAGGAGTCGGCGAAGGGCGCGTGGAGTGCCGAGGGCGCGCGATGAGCGTCAATTAAGGGACGGAAAAAAGGGGGAGAGTAGAAGCGGCGTGCAGAAAGCACGAGTCTCACCACCGGGCGAAATGTCGGTTTTGCCAGCGGGTCTGCGAGCGCGTCATACTGCTTACGGAGACGCACCAAACAACGTGCAACAAATAAGTAAATATAAAATCATGGTAAGAAATCATGGTCATGGTCACATTAATCATCTCATTATCATATCATATCATATCGTGTCATGTCATCATGGTCATCGTCATATCATTAAAGACTCTTGCTTGTACCGAGAGGTGCGTGTACGAGAAAAAAAGAAAATGAAAAAGTATGAGAAGTGGGTTAGTAGATTGGCGGTGGGGAGAAGGATATAGTCGGGATCTCAGTGTGAATCGTGTGCCTGTGTGTATGTGTGTGTGTGTTTCGTGTATTTTGTGTGTTTGTGTCCGTATCAGACTAAAAGAAGACAATGCTTTGAGAGAGCTTGAAATATCGAACTATCGAAGAATATTCTGAGCTTTCGATGATTTCGAGGAAAAGTAAATGTTCCCTGTCCTACCAGCGAGAGAAATCTTTTCAGTCCCAACGTAACACTGATGGAAATCTTATTCGAAATTGTTCAACACAGGAAAATTTCTTTCGCCGAGGAAATCCTTCGTCTCCGTCGAATTCTCGGAACCGGTTGCGTAGGATGTTTCTTTCTTAGAGAAATTAATTAGAGTTTCGTGGAACGGAAGACAGGTGGGGGCGTCGCGTACGGATAATCGAGTTCCCTGGTTCTCGTTCCCACGCCGAGACACCGCTTGCCAGGGGCTGTTAGGCACGGAGGCTGTCACCGACGAGAAATCGCATTAAAGCCAAATCAAATCGGCATCCTGGAAGAACGAAAGAGGAGGAGTGCAAAGTTGTCAGGGGAGAGGCTGACGTAACAGTGCGCCGTGGAACGCTGTTTCCCCATTTAGGAACATCGTAATTCGTTTCGCCGGGGATCGGGGCCTGGCTGTAATCGAATCGATGGGGCTAATTGAATATCGCGCCGTCGAGAATTGCCTTCGAATAATCGAGGTACGATTTCTCCGCGTTCCCGTTGATTAATTAGGGGCGGGTTAATTGAGGGTCGCGATTAGAAAGCGGGAGAAGAGCCCTTCGAGTAATTAACAGTTTGTTGAGTATCCCAAATTGATCAGGGATGATATATGTCGTTTTGATTTACGATAGTTGAAGTTTGCCGTCATATGAAATCGTAGTGGAATATTTTTTGGATGTCTCATTGAATCATTCGGATCATGCTAAGTGTTGTTCTTAAAGACTTTTGAAGAATAGTCCTGATTTGGATGCGAATGTTCTTTATTCCTAAAGTTTGAGTTTTGAGAAATTATTTGGATTGCGAATCACTGAAATGATTTTTTGGATGTATCTATATTACGCACTCCATGGATTCACTTTATTCGAATGAGTTTCTGTGAATTATTATTCAACTGAATGATAATTCGACTTACCGATGACTGATCCATGGAAGAAACCATTTATAGAATATTAGAGAAAAAATCGTGGGAATGAATTAAAGAAAAATCGCCTGAAACACCAGCGGTCACCTATCTTTCAGCGAATCACGATTGGAAGACGCTTAACCTATAAGATCGCAAACATCACAACGATGTCGCTTTAGTCATCGACCCTATCACTTACAAAACTCCTTACTACGACTTTCCTCCTAAACTTTCATACGATAATCATTCAGTATCCACTTCCCTTCCTCCAAAGTTCCATTACCATTAACCTAAGCTACCTACAATTTGCACACCGAAAAATTTCCAGTTACTTTCCACGGCAGGAGGTGAATAGTACGCATCCAGCGACTCGCTTGGGAAATCAGCGTAATGTAGACAAGCTTCGCCGACGAGGAAAAAGCGTAAGAGAGATCGTATACCAGCAGAATCGATCTGCATATCGAAACACGTCCAAGCTTCGGCAAAAATTGAAAGCTCTGCGCTCTATCCCAACAAACATTTCACTCGTCCGGCCTATCCTACTGAATTATTCAAACTGCAATCTCGGGGACTCCGAAAACAGACACCCTGCCGTGACACTTTTCCACGGTGGAAAAATTCGAAAAATTTGCAACAGGTTGAGACCACGTTCGATCCTTGGATCGCGAGAATGGAAAGATTGCTCGAGTCGTGCCGTTTCAGATGTTTACACGTATTCGCCACGGTAATTTTCTTCGCTGATGGTCTCGCGGCCGTTTCCATTCGCGAGAAGCGACGCGGTTCACGCGACGGCAGATCGCGATCTCGGCGAAAGCCTTTTTAAAGGCTTATCGGCTTTCGGAAAATTGAGGTTGGCGTGACCCGACACGCCAGCTTCTTTCTCCTTTTTCAGAGAATTAATCCCACCGTACACGGCGTCTTACAAATCTCTTGGCCCAGCTGGCGGCTAGCGAGCACAGGCGAAATATGCCTCGCGTTAATTCTGTTAAACGGAATCGCGGTCACGCCTCGGCGTTTTTCGTTACCTCGAACTCGAATCCACGGATTACGTTTCCCTTGGCTGCGGGCGAAACTATAATTACCGGTTCCGGCTTGAAAAATCTGATTACCTGCACTCTGACCTCTGGGCGTTCCGAGATTCACGAGTCTACCGTGCACTCTCCGGGGATTTCAGAGAATTGGACAGAGAATCCGTCGCGAAATTGGAAACAGACGAGAAAACCGCTCTGAACTGAATAGAAGTTTTGTAAGATTTCTGTAAGAAGTTCTTAATCCTAGGTTCACGGTACAGATGTCACTTCCAATTCAAGAAACGAACATTCTCAACACGATGTATTTTTCTCTTTATACGCAATTCTCCTCCACGCGACTCTTAAAACGAAATAGTATGCGCTGCTTGAAAATGATCACTTTTAATGGAAAAGAGATTCGCGAAGTGAACGTTTGAAAGGAGGATGCCAAAATCCTTATCAACCGAGGATTCTCGAATTAAGAAGAATTTCACCTTCGAATTCAGTCGTTCGGAAGAAGACGCGATCGCGAGAGAAAAAGTTCAGAAGCAAACTTCCCTCCCCGAGCCATCGTATCACGGCGGGGTTCGAACGACCTCGTTCCAGTCGAAATATCCGCGGCTTATCGCGGCCCGTCCCGAACTCGTTTCCGCGATATCGCGGGAGATCGGTGGTTTCAGGTGATACCGGCTCGTTCCGTGGCCTGCCCGGCGAAATTGCCGACTCGCCATTAATCAGACGCTCTATCGTGAGGGTGGGTGGCCGAGGGTTTCCCCGAGGCGGAGACCGGTCGTGCACGGTTGCAAAAACGTTGCGGAAACGATACGCGCCGTTGGTAATTATTATTATTCCGCTCCCAGCGAGATCCCCATCTCGCACGCCATATTGTGACCCGCGGCTGGCAGGCTTCAGTCCGGTTTCTCGCGCGAGGATCTCGGGGAAACGCGAAATCTGGAGGGAAACTGGGCCGCACGAGACGAGGAAGAAATCGCGTCCGTCGGATACTCGACAGGAGAAATAATTCTCCATTTCGTTCGAAAGTTCTGCTAACGAGAGCTGTCTAAGAAAAATTCTGCGCCTTGCGAGTCTACGATCACCTTGAAGACTGAATATTGAACATTTGCTAACTAACGGTTTTCCTCGATTCACTCGAATCGGACAAAAGAAAATGCCTCGCGAATGAATCTGTAATCTGAAGATTGATAACTAGACTGCGGATGTTAAAGCAGTTTTAAATCTTTAGGAACATAATTAGGAAAACAGAATTATGATAGAGAATGGTTTTTCTTAATGAATATTATAAAAAGCATTCCGCTGTGAATATTCCTTCGTGCATTTCGTCGAACTTTGTGCTTTCAATTTTCCCACAAATGAATAAAAGCAGCAGAATAATGACTGACAACGCTGATCCTGTAATTTTTATAGAAGCTACGGAACAAGAGCCAACAGAGGACGAATAGAATCACGCTCTCGTGTAATCGACGGAATCCCGGGAACGGGATCACCGAGGAAACGAAAACGTTCACGGATAAGCTGCCTC